TGCGTCCCGAGCCGGGCGGGGTCCCGCTGCACTCGCCCTGGACCTTCTGGCTGGACAGGTGAGGGGGCGCGGGGCCCGCCGCCACCGCTTTGTCTCGTCCCGGCCCCAGGGCCCGGTGCGCTCCGCCCAGCCCCGCGCCCCGCGCCGGGCGCCGCCGTCCCGGGCCCGCTCCGCGGTGGCGCAGACCCCGGCCCCGCCGCGCGTCCGCCGGCGCGCGCTCCGGGACCCGCGCAGAGCCGGGTCGCAAGCCCAGGTTTGGGCCGCGCCGAGCGGCTGTTGGGCGGCCTCGCCTCCCGGGCCGGGAGAGGGGAGCGCAGCCCCAAAAGTTTCGGCAACACTTTCCCCCCTTATTCCCTTCGGAAGCGAACGCCCGCACGGGCGTCCTGGCTGGGCCGGGGGCGACGGTGGGCGAGTCGGGGGTAATCGCGTCCCCGCTGTAGAGCGACGGCTGTCCTGGTTACCCCACGGGGCTCTTAGGGAGCTCAGGACACGACCTTAGCCGTGACAGCGCTCGGGAAAGTTGACTGTCCCTTGGGAGGTGTGCGGTGCTGGTAGTATTACTGCACAGCGCGCGCCTGCACCCCATGCCCGGCCCAAGCTGCCGTGGATGCCTCTTCAAATTCTTTCTCATCCACTGGGCAGGCATTTCTTGAGCACCTGCAGCGCAGCCACACACCTGCTATGCGCTGGGAATTCAATCCTGAGCATCCGCTCACCTTGTCAGTAAAGGGAGACAATTACAACGTTCTCAGGGGACAGCTCAGGTGCCATCTCCTAAGAAAGGCCTTTCTGACTACCGAATCTCAAATAGATACCCTCCTGCATCATTTTGCATCCTCTTACCCTGCCTTCTTTTCTTTATAATGCCTAACACCACCGCATTCTGTTACGTATGACTTTGTTTATTTTCAGTCCTCCAATATTTGCAAGCCTCTGTTGTGGAATCAAAGAGCAGAGACTTCTTTTGTTGTTGTTGACACTTGCTAAATCCCAGTACCTAGAACTGTGCCTGGCACATAGTA